GTGTACCGGCGGCGTGCTTGTCACTCAAATCATTACCATTCCCCGTCGGAAAAATTACCCAGTATTTACGTCAACTTTATTTGATTTATTTAAATCTTAAAAGAACGTTAATCACAAATGACGTAAATTAGCTTTATAATTTAATTTATCTTTTTTTATTTCATTTATTATGAAGTATATTAATCTATTTTATTTCTGTTAATTTTTCTAATATTTGGTATACAATCTTTTGGAATTCTTCCGGACATACTTAAGGCTGGCAAGTGTGTCGGGCCAGGCCGCAAACAGGCCAAATGAGCCAGTCTCACAAGCCGCGGTCCCAGCCGGGGTCTGGTCCAAAAATAAACGGTTCAAACGGTCCGGAGCTAAACGTGCTTTTTGTAGGAACCAACTAGGGACCGGGCCCACTAGCTCATGGTTCAGGACTAAACGGGTCGGGCTTGCGGTCCAAACAAGCTAAATGGGCCCAACGACTATAAAAAATTAGTTTTTTTAAATTAAATACAACTTAGAAACAAAAAAAATGTTAAAAAACATCTAAGGCAATGCCTTGTAATTTTATTATAGAATTGTAATCTAATTTTTGAATTCAAATTTAAACTCCTAATTTGCAAGTTTTCAAATTATGGTCGTTGGTCCAATGACTAATTTTCAAAAATAGTTGTTGGGGCCGTTTGCTTGCAAATTTCATACAACTTACATACTGATTTTTGAATTGAAATTCGAGACAAAAATATTGTAAAAAAATATTCAAAGCAATGTCTTGTAATTTTATTATAGCAATAAAAAATATGGCAACATCTTTCTTAGTCTTCCTCCCCCTATGGAATGAGCACAACAAGGTGCTAATACCACCATTGAGAAGAAAAAGAATTAATCAAGAAGTGCCAAAAATACAAGTTACATACTAATTTTTGAATTCAAATTTAAACTCCTAATTTACAAGTTATTGTGATGGAGAACAAACTTGCAAATATAATATTTAATATATTCTAAAAACTTGCCTTTCCATAGTTATCTATTACAAACTTCATAAATCCTTCAAGGTTCGGAGGAAGTTCTGTTGGTAGTGGCGGAAAAGTAGCTTGTTCATTGCTGCTTCCATTGTCCGACGAATCAGCATTCTCAACAAGTTCAGCTAGCATTTCTTCATAAGCTTCGTCTATATCTGGTTGTGATTCATCCAGTCCAAGATTTCTTCTTTCTGAACGGATCCAATCTCTGAAAAGTACTGATTTTTCCAAGCTATCTCTCATAGACTATATATGATTACCGATTTGAAATCTTGCTTGACTGAAAGAACCGGAAAGTATTTTTCTTTTTCCTTCCATCATTGCAAAATATCAAAGGTATCATCGGGATTCACTTCCTCGAGCCTTTGCGGCAAATAAACTTCAAACTCATTTAGTTGTGAATAATTATTACTACTAGAATTAAAAGAATCCATAAACCCCGCCCAAACACTAAGTCTTCTTACTCCCTGTGTTCTTTTAGAAGATTGAAAATCAGAAGAAGAAGGAGTTGCAACATTTGGTCTAGCCTGATTTAATGCAACTTGATAAGCGTAATAAATAGTTTCAGCATTTGTTCTAATTGAGGCTATTGCTTCCGAAAGTTTAGGCTCCTAATCATCTTCAAGTGTTAAACCCTTATAAACAGTTTCATACCCAAATTGAGGACCTCCTAATTTCATACAAGGATTTAACAAATTAGCAACACCATAAATAGCGAGAATAGGGAAAAAATATTTTTATAACTTTCTTCTCATAGAATCAATAGCAAGTTGATAAACTTTCTCACCCTGAAATAAATGAGCAAACAAATTTGCAAGTTCTACAATATAAAATAAACAGTTAGAAATAGTAGCATAATATTTTTCCCAAAATTCTTTTGTAGCATTATGAAATTTTCTAAAAAATCAACAAGCATTTTAACATAAGCCAAATCTCCATTCATAAGGTAATCGTTATCATCACTTACATGTGCATTAAACATTGAACTTATGGGGTTTCTATAGTCATATGCAATAACCAAACTTTCATACATGTAATTCCATCTAGTTGGACAAGGTTTAGGAGCCTTTCTTTCTCTTAGGCCACAATCATCGCACCTTCTAAAATATTCTCTAAGTCTACTTCTACGATTATAATGAAAAAGCCAGTTAAGAGCTATTTTAATCTTTTCAATTTGAATATTTAAAATTCTCATACCACATCACCCACAGTTAAGTAGTAAATATGACAAATACATCTAATATGAAAAATGTTACTAAATGTGGGATATAGCGTAGTGGTAAGCAAGTCCATAGCATTTGTGTTATTAATGACATTATCCATTAAAACTGATATTATTTTATCACTAAAGCAAAAATATCTGCAAATATCAGTAACTATGCTAGCAATAAACTCCCATGTGTGCCGTGAGGCAATTATTCTATAAGCAATTATGTATTTTTGTATTTTTCAATCCTCATCAATCCAATGACATGTAACAGTAAGGTAATCACATTCGTTATTACTTTCACTAATATCAATTGTAATAGCAACACGACAACTTATATGAGTAAATAAGTAGCGCAAAGATTGTTCATATTCATACTTATATTTATAAATATTACTCTTTACGGTTGTGCGAGGAAAACCTTTATAAGTAGGATTATAAATTTTTCTAATGTAATGCACAAACGCAGAGTTAGAAGGAAAACTATAGGGTAAGCACATAACAATTACCAATTTTGCCAATTCTTCCCGATCTTTTCTTGGATCATAATATAAAATACCAGCGGTAACAGTGTTAATTTCTGGTTGAAATTGATTTGAACAAATATCACTGGGGTCAGTCTGACTAGGACTAGGTGCACTTTTCCCCTAGGTCAGAGCTTTCATACGAAGATATTTGGCGTTATCATTAGGGTGTTTAGCTCTGTGTCTAGCTAAACTTCATGTCCCCGATTGTATTGGTGCATATTTAAAAGCTAACTCTAGACCACATGTTTTACACTTAGCCTTACTTTTTTCAACTAGTTGAGTAAACAAATGGCCAAACAACATATGTTTCCATCCGTTTGGTAGGTTCTTTAGAAAAAGTAGTTACAGTAATGGGAGTATCAATTGGGTCATCATTAGAATTAGCAGCATTATTACTAGTTGGATCAACATCAGGAACATGACTAGTGGGTGTATCATCGTCCGGTTGAGTTTTATCAAAATCAATTTCCTCATCATATTTTTTATTAATAGTAGTATAATCATTAGTGTAGAGATCATTCATTAATTCATGGTGTAAAAAATCACTGGGTGCAATATTATGGCAAGATTTAGTGTCGGTAAATTGTAATAACTATTATCCGTATCAAGAATAGTAGGTGCAGGACGACTACAGGATTTGGATCGGGGAGCCGGGGGCGGGGGAGGAAGAACAACAGTACCACTAGTTTCGCAGTCTTAGATTTTACCTTATTCTTACTTTTACCATGCCAAAAAATATTTCTTAAGGAAGACATCTTAATTAATCAAGTAATAGCAACTAAATAAAACAAACACAACTATAATATTAACACTTAAGAGTTGGAACGAGTTTACCGAATTGACAAACAACTTGTTGAAAATTCCAATTCACCAACTTCATAATTTTTTTATAAATACTAACAACCTCAATATTTTTTGACTATTTTTTTTTAATAAAGTAAGCAATAGTAGCAAACTCATGATGGTAGGCTAGAAACTCGTATTTTAGCTATAGTATTGCACTCTAATTACTATATTTTACGTGTGTTTGAGCTTAAACGATAGTGATTTTCACTTATTATCCATTTTATGCCTTGTAGGAAATAATTCCGAGTTAAGAAGATAATTTGGAGCTAAATCAAATAATTTAGAACTTTAAAATCTGAGTAGAAACCCAATGAATTAAATCGGGATCGTATTCGAATATGGAGGACCGAATACACATTTAAAATATAGAGGAAAAATGCTTAAAGCCATTTAAATGGCCTATCATGGCATGGTAGCCAAAATAGGGGACAATATGTCACCGAATTCTATTTAGAAATTTAATTCCCCCAAGACATGGTCTAATAGGACGTTTGACCAACGTGTCCAACAAAGTGATTTGCATATTGAAGTTTGTTTAGGCAGAAATGCAAGTCCTCTACTTTTGTCCATTGCCGCGCCGCATAGGGCACCGCGGGGCGCGACGCATCAGTGCAAAATGTGCCCATAAATGATTTTTGAAATTGTTTTGGAATTTTCCATAAGTGCACCGTATGATGCGGCACGGGGTGTGGCGCGGTAGCACAAAAATGTTAGAGTGACTTTCCATTTCCACTAAAAAGGGGTAGTTTCGTCCGGGATTTATTTTGGGACGGCTTAAATACACCAAAATACCATTTAGATGGACTTTTGACACATTTTCGACCTAAGGAGGAGTTGGAAGAACACAAGCACAAAGATTTCATCATTCCTTCCTCACTCAAGATCCGGGTTTGGATTGAATTTATGTTTTCCTATACTTTAGTTACATTTGTGAAGAACTTCTCTATGTCTATGGAGTAGATCCTTTTGGGT